AAAAGAACATATAACAATTAGCAACAGTTAGTGTAAGAGGAGAATCCATTGCTCCTCCTCGAATTTGATGATAGAATTGACCATGATAAGAAAAATAATTATTTTGCATTACAAATCTACTTAATCTAATAATTGTTTCTATTTTTAGACCACCAATTTGTTTTAAATTTAAATAATCTATCATTTTTTTCAGTGACAATACTCCTTCCACTTGTGGAATCATTGTATATAAATTGACTACATCAATTGTACAAAATAAAGTCTGTTGATTTATATTTAATTTTGACCATTTGTCTAATTTTTTAAGTAATTCAAAACCTGAAGTCTCTGTTATTTCTTGAGCTATTTTATCAAATAATGGTCTTAATAAATCATGCAGATATTTTGATATTTTAATTGTAGGATGTTTTAAACCACTAATTATTGGACGTAGAGGAGTATTTGGTTTATGAGCTTTTGGTAAATAATATAAATGAGCAAGTTCTACTTCATTTGGATTAATACATCATTTTTCATATTGTTTTTGAGTAATCCACTTGGCTAGTCGTAAATCTAATAAATACTTGTTAGTACGACGAATCAGATCAGGTAATGAATCTTCAGTGCCTAAACATTTGTAGGCCTTTGTTCTATCCATATATTCTTCTGATTTTTTGCGATAATCTTCAAATTTTCCTAAGTGGAATACTTTTGATTTATCTGATTTTCTTAAAACAATATTGGCTAATCTAAATTTATGTTTCAATCTTTTTATCAACCGACCATAATTTTTCTTTTTTGGAATTTTTAAGGGATTAGAATTTTGAAATAAAGGTAATTGACTGACTATTATGGAGCTAATATCCTTATTTTGTTTTATTGAATCATTTTATTATGCTTGAATATTGGTATATCATGTAAATTCTGAAGAAGAACATCTAATTCAGCAATAAATTGTTCAACTGGACGGCCAGGTATAATTACTTTTTCTAAAAATCGATTTGCAATTTTTCGTTTTAGAGTTGCCAATTCAGTTCTACGTCTTCGAGATGCTGTTTTTGGATCGTTAAACATAAATCTTGGACCTAATTTAAGTAAATCATGTTCTTCTTCAGTTAATTTTATCTTTGCTTGATTTATTATATCTGGAGCGTGAAATCCTTGCCCACCGAACAAATTGGAGTCGGGGCAATTATTAATTCTTCTTCTTGTTGTTGAAGACTGTCGATTTCACCCTCGACTCACTGTACGGATAAAAAATAAATGGATTTTTCAGCTTCAATATTTATTCTGTTTTCACGTAATTCATGATATTGTTTAAAAGAAACAAAACTAACTTCATCTTCATTTGTTGTTTTTGGAAAATTTTCAATTATTTGTTTAATTTCATTTATTTTTAATTCATGTTCTCGAGCAGCTGTTTGTTCATTTAAAGTCATTGTTTCTACTCGATAATTTTTTATAATTTGTCTCATTCAATTGTATAGAACTTGTGATTCTTCTTGACTAATGATAGATTCATCTATTTTAAAATTAAAATCAACATTTGAAATAAATTTTGGTGATAAATTTAATTTAATACGTTCTGTAATTGTTCGATAATTTTTATATTTAGTTGACCATAATTTTATTTTAGATTTTAAAGTTGAATGTAGATTCCAATGAATTGTAGTTGTTATTTGTTGAAAATCTTCTAATGCTTTATATTCTGCCATTTGTGCTTTAGCTAATTGTATACGATTTTCAGTCAATTTTTTAACATGTTGTGTACATTTATGTAAATAATCTAATATATGTTTTTCAAGACGGTCAACTGGTTCACGTGTTTGATTTTTAATTGTTGACATTGTTGTAGCTGGTGATGGAATATTAGCATTAGTTATTGTCAATAAATTAGCTGTTAATTCAGCTGTTGTATGAACTTCTTTTTTGTGCTGTTGCTTCGGATGTCGTATGCGTCCAATATGTTGTTAATTGTATTTGTAAATCAGAAATACTGGCACTTAATGCAGCTATTTCATCCGTTAATCTTTTAGTTTTCTTTTCAACAAATCTTGTATCTATTACACCATCACGTTTTTTAGTACGTTGTATCACTTCTTTAGTCCAAAACTTTTTTCAGTACCTAATTTAAGATATTCTTGCCAGACTTGAAGTTCATAATTATTTCTTATCCATTCATCATAGATAGAAGCAGTCGCCAATGTATATGCTTGATTACCACGACCACTTATAACATTTTTACTTTGTTTTGAAGTTTCTTCAAACCATTTCAATATTTTATTTGGTTGAAGATATACTCGAATCTTTTTCTTTTTCTTATTTTTATCTGTTTTAGTTTTGTTTTTATTATTTATTTCAATTTCAACTAAATCATTATTATTGTTATCAACTTCATTCTCATTATCAATATCATTTATGTCACTTAAGATTTCAAATCTACTATTATTATTATAGATATTATTTTGACGATATTGTCGACGACGATATGATGAAGTAGTTGTACGTTGTTGAATTGGATTATTATTTTGTTGATTAACTATAAATGGTTGTGTTGTATTATTAGTATTATTTGTAAATATTGTACGTTGTGGTAATGCATCAGGTGGTGCTGTTGTAATTGCATTATTTAAATTAAAATCATCTGGAAGATTTCTTGAATCTTGCGAACAATCACCTTGTAGATTTTTTGGCATAAAATCATTTAATCTTATTTGTCGTGGACCACGTCTTCGTTGTCGATTTGATCGACTTCTTTGTTGACGTCGAAAAAAGCTTCTTCTTCGACCTTGAAATGTATTACCACTATAATAATAATAATTGTTATTATTATATCTATTACGATTGTATGAATAATTTCTAATTCGATAATAAGAATTATTATTTCTTCTATTTGTATACTGGTTCCCTCTATAATTGGAACATCGATAATTAAATTCATTACTTCGATAATATGATTCATTGCCCACTAAAACAACGCCTCGTACATATCTTTGTTTTTGCGGTGGTGCATTTATTTGTTTTTGTTGTTGTTGAAGAATTTCATTATTATTATTATTATTATTTGTATAAGTAACTGCTGACATGATTCGTTCAATAAGTTGAAATTTAAATGGATCAAATTTAAGTAATATTATTTTAAAGAATTTGATGCCTGATATTTTTGAATAAAGGTTTAAATTAATCAAATAATCAAATGTTTAAAAACAGATCGATCTATATTTTTAAATAATATAAATCTATCTGCTAATTTCAACTTTTGCTTTTCAGCAACTGATTAAGTCAATTTTAAGTTGATATTTGATATTGTACTTGAATGAAATTTAATAGAATAGAATAATAATGCAGATTTAATTTACGCCGACCCGTTTCGTATCTTTAATAAGATAGTACTCTTCAGGGTCTGTAATATATATATAAATATCTAAAATAGAAAGAAAACTAGACTTCCACTCGAGCGAAGCTCGAGTAGATAAGGCGGCTGACTGCGCGAGCCCGAAAAATATCAAAATAGGAGTGTATATGACATCTGCTATTTCAAAATCGTACCCGCCCCTAGAGAAAATCATAATGAATTTAAGTCAAATTCAGCTGTGTTCACTCAGCTGATAAGTGAGAGATAATGAATGTGATCACCTATCGCCATATAAGGAAACATTCAGCTGTTCATTATCGTATTACTCATTTCATCTATATAAGCCATGGCCAGCTTTTCTTGATTGCTCGAGACTCTTTCTTGGATGAATTTAAGTCACATAAGACGATAATTAAATTGTATATGCATTTAACATCTGAGATATTAATGGTCGCTTCAGGTTGAATCATACATCACCATATAAGGAAACTATCAGCTGTTAATTATCGTTTTACATATATTTATTATCTCCCGAACCGAGTGGAATTTTGGAAAACGGATTTCAGATGTGCATTCGTCACGCTCTCACGATCTCAGCAAACTTTTTTTCAGTTCAAAAAGATGTTCAGGTACTGAGAACGAGTGGCTGACTTGATTCGTGACTCATGTGTTGAGAAGAAGAAGAAGAAGAAGAAGAAGAAGAAGAAGAAGAATTTGCCATGGCAACTAACCGAGTGAAAAGCAATAAGTCGGCAGACTGCACTTCGTGCAGTCAGCCGCCTTAATTTGCCATGGCAACTAAGCGAGTGAAAAGCAATAAGTCGGCTACTGCACTTCGTGCAGTCAGCCGCCTTAAAAAAATGTATATAATTATTAGTATTATTATAATGTTGATTCATTCGAGATAAAGATAATTAAATTTATTTAAAAAAGGAAAACAAAACAGAAAACACTACAATTTATTGAGTTTATTTCTTTAAAAACTAACTAAAATGTATTAATTCATATGTAGTTGATCATCAGCAAGTCATTTTTTTCGATTTATTCATCCTAAAATTAAAGAAATAATTGAATAATTAGGATAGGAGTGTG